GGATTTCATGGTTGAGAGTTGACTTAGTTATTTGCTTTATAAGCTGCCACTTTTCCACTGCCCATATGATCGCACTTGGGAGTCCTCTTTTGGTTGAGCAATGTAAATTGAATTTATATATCAGAGATAAAATTTGCTCATAATTCTACTGTTTATGAGGTGAGGGGTATGGAGGAGTATGCTTAGCGTGCCTCTTGCCAGATGGTACTTTGTCTGCAAATAGAAAGCTTGATTTTTGGCATCACACAGTTTTATATGGATGCACAAATGCCTCTTGAAGAAGTTGGGTGGTGTTTCAGATAATTTCATTGCACTTCATTTGGGTTATTGTTATTGTTGCCTTATTGTTGCTCAGGTTCATGAGACAAGTTTACTAAAGAGTTATCTCTACAGAAGCGTACTTGCAGAATTTTTCAAATAAATGTGTATTTCTATGAATGGCACATTCCTGATTTGCTGTAAGACCACTGCCTAGGTTAGTATGCAGCAGAAAAATAGGAAAAATCCACAAGTCATCATGCTACAGAAAACTGGAAACAGATGTCTAATGGGAATAGGAGCTTAAAGCTTGCTAATTCCTACTTTTTCCAGAGGGCATCTGACATGATCAGTGAACTGTTCTTTATTTCCTCTGTGGTCCTTTTAAGATTTGTATGTTACCAGCTTTCATGTTTAAATGTGCTTGCTGAGTGTACTGTTTTTCTTCACTGCCAATTTAGAGTTAAGGACCTGTTAGCTCGTGAAAAGAAATATACCTTTAATGTACTATTGCATATTTATGATTTTCTACTAACTATTCAAATCCATTTAATTTAGGAAGTATTATTAAAAAGGAGGACTTTCATATGACACATTTTATATTTGAGTAAACTAGTTTCACTGTGATGGTAAGATCTTTGGGTTTGACTTTGTTTCTGGTATTAATACTACATTGCATCACTGAAGTCAATACTTTTTTATGAGCAAGAGCTACCTGCTAGTCTTTTCTCAAGTATACAATTGCTGTTACAATATTTACAGCACACAGGTTGTGCAGGAGGATTAGCTGAGTTTATCATGTTGTTCCCTGAGACTATCTACATGTACTGTGGTCATTGTTGTCCTTCTGAGACTGTACCACGTCAGCATCTGAAGTAATAGCTGAAACATGACAGGGGACTGACCCTTTTGACATTCATGGTAAAGAGAATATGGGAGGATGCTTTCAAAGCTGCTAACTGTCTTTCTGTAAAAATCTTCCCAGTGCACTGAGATTGAAGATCGGTATGGGCTAAAGTCACAAATGTTCTAAAAGCAAGAGTAGTTCAAAGACATTCTACTCATTGCAACTCAGCTGATATAGGACCCTTGCATTCAGGGAGATGTAGTTGGAAGGAATGATGATTTTCCAGCTTTCAATCAAATCTTGCAGCAGATGAGTACGGAGTTCTGAATTAGTACAATTTGCAAGTTGTTGCAAGTTCAGCTCCTGTCACACAAACTGTTGACATCTTGCTGCTGACATCAGGTAATGATGCATGCGTTTGCTTGACAGGTACAAAGAAGCTCACTTCTACACAATGGTGAGTTTGTTCACTGCCACTGAGGCACAAGTACATGTGGATGGACAAAACACCAAGCCTGGGGAAAATGAGGATCTGGAACACGGGAAGGGAATTGCACACAAGCAGAAATACACTTTAGTGCAGAGGTGCCTAAAGCTGTTTGCAGTGCTTAAACAAATTACACAAACTTTAAGTATTCAGACTGGCTTGTGAATATGGTTATTGAGGGGTTAAAAGTGGAAGTATGTAATTGTGCCTTCTGTCTATCCTTCATCCCCTTACACATCAGTTCTGGGTGAGTCTGATGATCAACAGTCCCTAAATGCCAGGGTGAAGGGGTAGGCATTGCAATCTGTAGCTGTAACAGGGCATGAAGGGACAGAGGGACAGAGGAGCAAGATGTAAGCATTAAAAGGGGCATTGAACTTTTGTGTACATCATGTGCCTAACCCCTGTCCTGCAAAGGCAGAGTTGATTGGACATAGCCTTCAAAAATCTACAGATCCGTTTCCCCTGTCAGGAAAAACCTTAAGAGATGTAGCTGGCTTGAACGCTTAGCAGGTGTTAAGACTTGGCATGTTTGTTGTGAGTAAATCAACTGCTAATAAGGTGAAGAAATCACATGTCAAGGCAGGTTATAAAACCACAGATCCACGTGGTTGTTGAGATGGTTGTCAGGCTTAGGGGATTCTGAAACTTCACTCCACTGGCAGCCTGCCTGTCAGAGTATGGGTAGGGCATGTGGGAACAATGCTCTCAGGGTACCCAGAATTAATCTGCTAACAGCCTACGTCAGGGCAGGTGTCACCAGCATGCTGGGGTTGCCCCAGCTGCTTCGTGCCAGCTCTTTGCTCCAGAGCCAAGCAGGCAGCTTAGGCTGTGCAGCTGCTCTTGTATTCTGCTCTGAGCCATGCTCTTTGCATGCCTTGTATAGCTCTTCAGCCACAGGCAGCTCAGCCAGAGCTTTTTATCAAAGGTGAATCATGCTTTCTGTCATGCCAAAATCAAGGATTTTTTTATGTCCATGACTCAGAGAAAAAGGCGGTGGCGTCTGCTCCAAGTCGTAACTGGATAAGGTGCCTTTGTTTCCCCACTCATTTAAGGATTGGAGAGAGGGAACAAGCTAGAGATTGATGCCAATTTCAATATAGACTTGGCGTTCTTGGTGTCCTCCCTTCCTGCTGAGATCCGTGCTGGATAAGATGAGCTGCAGGACCCATAAGTTTGCAACAGTACCAGCAGGATAAATATTTCTGTATTTCTATCTGGTTTTAAAATGATGTGTGTATGTTCCCCTCCTTTTTTTTTGGCAAAGGTTAGCCCCATTAGATGCATTGCTCTTCATTTCATCTCCTTCTCCCATCTGTTATGTCTCTTTTCAGTAGAAACCAAGGAGATGTAGCTCCCACTCAGGCAGACAGATAACTCCATCTCCCATACATGAGCAAATATCTCAGTGTGAAGCAGAGCAGTGCCTTGCTGTGCACATACATCAGATTGTACCACGAGGGCAGACTGCTCTCTCAGACTCTGATAATGTCATATTCCCTCTGTCAGCTTATACAGATGAGGGAATGCCATTGCCCCCCTTAGTTAAGTGTTGTTGAATTCCCAGGCCTAAAATAGGACCCAAGGGAATCCAAACAGCTTTTTCCTGAGAAACCAGGTTATCACAGCAGTAGATAAGAAAAACAAATAGTTTAAAATACTAAAGCCATGATACAGCTAGTAAATAAAGAACAGTGCATGTAGATAAGGTATACAGAATTTATAGATGATTGTTAGTCCAAACCTGTGATTATTTGGATAATAAAGCCATAAAGACAGCAAATATTGATACAGTAAAACTCTATACTGTACCTTGGAACTCACTGGTAGGTGTCCACTTCATTAAAGAAGAAATCTTGCCTACCAAGCTCCAGAGCTTTGTTTAATTTCCCTGACTTTTATAGAAGATTTTGAAATGTCTCACTGTGAGAAAAACTGCACACCATGAGTTCTTTGTAGAGAGGAGCAATATCTTTGAGAAAAGATGTCTTTGTGTTAGTTCATGTAATATTACCTCTGTGAGACAAGCAGGTGTTTATTACAAGTAGTTATTTATTACTAATGCTGTTATCACCAGAATATACTGTTATCACTGTCTATGAAGCAAGGCAGTTTGCAGTGATGCTGCTTTGCTTTTGTTTTGTGATTGGATGCCTACAGTCGTTTTTATTTTCTGGTTCTTACCTTTGATGTCCTCGGGACTTCTCATTCCCTGTTTGGTATTAACTTCACAGAAGTAAAGTCACCTTAGAAATATTAGAAAAATTGTGATTTTTATTAATGCTTCTTACAATTTTGGTTTATACTAACTTATCAATTTTTAACATTGCACTGTGAAATGTTATACAGTCATCTGAATGAGATTACCAGGTAGGTAATAGCTTCCCAGATGACACATCCAGGTTGCCAAGATAGGGAACAGGGATATATTCCTTCTGCCATGTGGTGGCTGTAAGGGGGTGGCACTTGTAGCACAAAGTGCCTGTGATGGGAGCTGCACACCTTTGCATCCAATTATGTGAAAAGATCTGCCTCATGTGCAGGGTGCTGTTGTCATTGCTAGAGACTCAGGCCAAGGCTCTGTTCTTTGCTGTCCTATATGTGTTCTCACAGCTTGAATGGAGGACACAGAGGACAAAGTGGGGGTTGCAGTGTGAATGGTGTATGTGTGTCCTGAATACATCCATGTGGGCATGGTATTTCAACCAGTGATCTAAGAACAACCATATTGTGTAAGCATCTGTAGATCTGGGTCTTTTCTCCCACTTCCCTTCCATTAAGGAAGTTTTCTTAATGAATTTTTAGTTACTAATCACCTCAGATAATATTAGTTTTTAATAGACAGAATTTATTAAAAAACACATGCCTTGTGTGCTTACTAATTTTTACCATACATTATTTCATGGTAGGGAATAACTTTGAAAATTTTTGCTTTTGTCAGCTGATGTAACTGACAATAAGTTCTTAAAGTTGATAGTATTTCAGTATTCTTTCAGAAGATATTCTACTCTCATGAAGGGAATAGTATTTTATTATAGTAGATATTATATACAGCAGTGTATTACTACAAGGAACCTACTTGCTGTTACATGCATATATGCTTCTGTTGGCATCTTAAAATGTTTATAAGACATATAAAATAGATAAAAGCATTGCAGATTGCTGCATCTTGACCTGTAGTTTGTGAATTATCCTGTACTGTGTTCCTGTAAGAGTGTCAACTGTGATTACACAGTGTCTCAAAACTACAGAGCACTAAAGAAATTCTGAAATGGCAAGCTGTAATATAATACATCAGAAGAGGCACTTATGTTTGGTCATATGTTTCTGCAGATGCTTCCCTATTTTTCATTCTTCCATTTATACATGCTGTGTACATTTTAAAAAAAATAAATGTTTTTCTTTCAGCCATTAATGAGTTTCCTGAAGATATATTTACAAATAAAGAACGTCAGCAAGGAGGAATTCTGCTTCATATCATTGCTGTAAGTTTTTCTCTACTGTGCTTTATTTTTGTTTTCATTTATGTTACTCATTCTACTTTTATTTTTTAATAAGCTATTAATTATAATAGTGACCTTACTAAGTAGAGTTCTCTATATATCAACAAGTTTTTAATAGTTTGATTTGAATATTTCTAATATGAGTACAGTTCCTTAAAAGGCAACACTCTGGGGATGTGGTATAGTGGTGGACTTGGTATTGTTGGATTAACAGTTGAACTTGATGATTTTAAGGGTCTTTTCCAACCTAAATGATTCTGTGACTCCCTGATTTAAGAAAAGGATGCAAGTCTGAATTTGCAGAACCTATGAATTCATTCTCTTGGAGATAAAATCCTGGCAGAATGGATCACATGAATTTTATTTCATGTTATATAGTCAGATTTTACAATTCCTACACTGATGACATTGAGCATGATGTGGAAGTTTCTTGAGTCTCTTTCTTTTCTTTTATGCCTCTATGCAATAGATATAATTATAATTTTAAAAACCCCAAACCAGCCTTAAAGAAATATAGAAAATATCATGTGGATTTTTTTTTCTATTGTATTAAAAAACAAAGCAAGTGAGGCCTGCACGCTCCAGTTTTTCATTCCCAGCTCAGGGAAAGTAAAGTATAAAGGAGTTCTGTTTGATAGACACCAGCAGGATTAAGCCCACTGCATAGGCACAGCACATAAAGCTGCATAAAACAGTAGGAGAATCACATGTATGCAGGGAACCAGAATAATTTCTAGGTGTTTTAGTGCAGTGATCCATGGCCAGAATCCACTTATTTCCTGTGTAAATATTTCCTGAATATTGTTAATCAGCCTAGTTTTATTTTCTATTTAATTACTTGGTCTGATAATTAGTTAAAAATATAGAGGATGACTACATAACTCATTATATGAAATCTGTTGTGGCATCCTGTTCTGTTTAAGTGTGGTACCTTTCATATTTTAGGGTCTGACAAGTGTTCCAAATTAGATCTTACATTCGAAAATCTGGTTTTATGTCATAAATTTTTCAACAGGGAGACTTTTATTTGGAATTAAATAAAAAGTGAAGCTATATATTTCTGCTAGGTTGAATAAAGGTAGCATTACCTTTTTTCCTCTTTTCATATACAGGAAAAATCTGAAGTATTCCCTGAATTTGTTTTCTTTACAGGCTCTTTATATGTTTTACGCTTTGGCCATAGTATGTGATGACTTCTTTGTTCCATCCTTAGAGAAAATTTGTGAGGTATGTTAATGAATATTATTACTCTTTTAGAAATTTATTTAGAGAATATTGTTTAGAGATATTATTTTCCATCAAAAAATGAACCAGTGGTCTGTGCACACTGGTTCCTCTGGCAGAAAAAAAATCAAAGATTTAATGAGACAGATGACAAAGCCCACTCTTAAATGCCTGAATCATGTAATTGGAGAGGTATGGGCTATGGATGAGTTGTATTTATTATTGTACTCCTTTTTTAAAAAGTAACTTGAGGAAAGATACCATAGATAGAAAAATTAATGTGGTGGCTATGCAAATCTTCTTGCACATCTACCACTGTGTCAGGAGAGAGGAAGTATATGTGATCCTAGTATAAAATGAAAAAAAGAGAAAATCCTTAAGAAAATTATGTACCCTGTATATGGAATCAGAATACAGATTTTATATGCAAAAAAAAAAGTAACATAATGCCTTTAGTTTTTGAGAAGGCTTTACAAAATTGCATTTAGGATTCTAATTTAGTTGATTGTGACAGAGTAGAATTAATACATGGCATGTAAATGTTGTGGTGAGTATGATATTGGTGAACAAAATAAATACATAATACAAATGTAGATTGTAACTCCTTTTTAAACATGAAATGAAAATCTCATCTCCTTTGCTTTTAAACAAAAATAAGAGTGAACATTTTCTGAAAAACTCCTGTTTTTTTTTTTTTCTCTAACTAGTTTAAAAGTCTCTTTTCCTGTTGCTAAATGTACTAAATACCTGTTGGTGTTACTCAGAGTTGTAAGCTTACACTCATCAGCAGAACAAATAGAATAATAAGGGAGTAATTAAATACTCAGTTGGGATATTTTCTGTCCCTTTCCAGATGTTCAGTATTCAGCATGCACATTAGATACTATATTTAAGTTATACCAGTTGGTTGTACCAATTACTGGTTACTGATCCTTCATAAAATATTTGCATTTTATCTCACATTCCTGCTGAACATTTAAACAGCTACCAAGAGTTCAGACAGAACACTTAGGTTTGAGTTCCTGCAGCAGTATGACTGGTAGTAGATCATATTTGTGTTTATGTTTTGTCAAGACGTGTAGGATGCCATTATTATCAGCTTAAAATGTTTTCAGGCAAACTGCTTGAAAAATACAAGATTTTTTACTTCTCCTTTTGTCACTAGTTAATTTTCTATCCTTGAAAGAAAAATAGTATACTAAAGATGATCTTAGAGACTCTCAAAAAGGAAAAAACTCTTCCATAAAAAACCATGTTTATAGTTCAAGGGAAAGATCTTCAGACTGCTAAATTGATACAACCCACTTGTGGACCTGCACGTGTTTTTGCTGGTCTGAGAACTCTAAGTTACCTATATCCTATTAGAGCTTAATAGCTCTAATAATAAAAATAGATCAGAAAAATAGATCTCTCCACCACACACCCTCTCTGTGTCTAACTGGACTAATTTTATCTGTGTCAGCGGACTCACTTTTGATTAACACAGTTGAAAAGTGAAGCCAGAATCAAGCCTGCTGTTCATAGGATTTATTCACAAAGGTTGTATTTTTCTGTTACAGGTTTTCATTTTTGAATCTTAGAAGCCCTAAGAGTTGGGGAATTGAATGACTGTGTTTAGAGTTACAGAAGTAAATTAATTAAAACAATTTGAGATGTTTACAATTCTTTTGAATCTGCAGAGATACTTTAATCAGCTCCATGTAAGCCACAATTGGCTATTCATTTACATATATAACTGTAGAGCTCCACAATGTAAATACAACAGCAGTGCTGAAATTGCCAATTGTTTTCTTCTAGAAACTACATTTGAGTGAAGATGTTGCTGGAGCCACATTCATGGCAGCAGGGAGCTCCACCCCAGAACTCTTTGCATCTGTTATAGGTATGGAGCCCACACACAAGCTTTTTTGAGATCTGCTGTTAAAAAATCAGCAGCAGATCAAGCACAGGTACCCATTCTTCTGACAATTTATAATCAGCGATTGCAGCTGTCAGCTAGTCTGTGGTTCATGGTATCATTAACTACTCAAAATATCTCATGAAACTGTGAGTCTTTTCTCAAAACACAGAGCAGAATGTCTGATTCTGAACACAGGACACAAAAGAAGAGATTTATTGAAGTCCCTTGAGAAGTAATTTAATATATTTGGAAATAGATTAAGAGCAGCCCTGAGGAGAAAGACTTGGGGGTGTTGGATGATGAGCTCATCATGATCTGTCACTGTGCAGCCAGTGTGCACTTGCAGCCCAGAAAACCAACTATATCCTGGGCTGCACCAGAAGCAGTGTGGCCAGCAGGCTGAGGGATGTGACACAGCTGAAGACTAAGCTGTCAAACTGTTGAACTAACTAGTTAAGAAATCATTTACTAAAATTATATATGTAGAGGTTCTAATCCACAGATGGGGAGCTGTTAGCTAGACTAAAAACACAAATTCATACACAGAGAAGTGAGCCTTAATTATGAAATGTGTTTTGGCTAATCTTTGAAACAATCTCTACTTCACGAGTAGACCTAAATTAAATGACAGATGTAGTTATGTATAATTTTCTCCCTCTGCAGGTGTATTTATCACTCATGGAGATGTAGGAGTTGGAACCATTGTTGGTTCAGCAGTTTTCAACATCCTCTGCATTGTTGGTGTCTGTGGACTGTTTGCAGGACAGGTTAGTAAGATACTTGTCTTTACAGAGTTCAGTTGCTTACAATTTAGGGGTTTCCATAAGCATATATTTAAAAAAAGGACAAAATCACAGACAAAGATGACATTGTGAAAAACTTCAAAGATTGGAAAGAATTTACAAATGCTTTACAAACAGTGAATGTTTCCAAAAAGTTCAGCTGTAGTGTCAGCACTCTGAACATGTAGCATACAGAGGAAACTGGTTCCTCTTCATACAATAATGTCTTTATAGTCAACTGATCATTGGCATGTGCTGATCCTTCCTGGTACTGATGACAGTCAATGAATCTGGGGCACAAGCATGAGATTTGCTCCATTTACTCAATAGATGGTTAAACTGTTTATCATATCTTTTCAGGTAGTAAGTCAAATATATCCACAAATAAAAGGAACAAGGAACAATTGATTTGCTGCAGTACAATGAATTTTACTTTACAGTTGAAATTATAACCAAATCAAGTATCATTAGTAAGAAATGCATTTCAATAATGGAAGTTTCTATATGATTTTTATTACTGATGTTTATTATAGATCCATTGTCTAACAGACTGATACATCTTCATGGTAGCATGAAACTGCATTTGGTTTCAGAATTGTTGCTAATAATAATAATAATTACTCTGCTTACATACCTAAGTTATTTTAAGATAGGGGCTTTTTTATTTGTTTGTTTTTGAAATCCCATATTTTTCTTGGCTGAAGGTGTGGTGTTTTTCAGGTGGTTTGTCTCACCCAGTGGGCAGTGTTCCGGGATTCTGTATACTACACAATATCTGTCATCGTACTTATTGTGGTAAGTAGCTCTCTTATCACTTACTGTGTTTCAGTGCTTGAATTTTTGGAGGACCAGCCTGCTCACTATTGATACAAACTGGCAAATAATTATTTTCCTAGCTAGTTCTAGTGGCATCTGGAAGTGAGAACTGAGCTCCACAGTGTTGTATAAATATGAAAATTTCATACATCGCCATGGAATATGTGCCCACCATGTCCATCAATGTCCATTCATTTTGTACCTAGGGTTTGTAAAGGTCTGCAGATGAGTAGGATACTAGATACACAGTGCAGATAACACTCTCCTCAGACCTAAGAGACTGCTTGTTGTGGAAGTGAAAAATTTTGAGCTACACATCTGTTTTAAATAGAGAAGGTGGCTGTTTCTTGCTTCTACACAATAATTTTATTTTCAATTCTGGGTAAGTTTTTCCAGGTAGAGCACAGGTGAGATACCACTTTCTTCATCAAGAGCAGTGTAGTAGTTGTTGAATGTACACATTTAACGTGTCTGGTGGCAAGGCAGGGAAAAATCCATTAGTCTGTATTTTGTAATGCAAGTGGATCACTAGCTGTGTATTCAGTAACAGCAGTTGCACAGGGTGGAACAAAATGTGTATAACCACTTGACCCAAAAGAAGTAAAATGGCTGCCTGCTCTGCTACAGCCAGTCTAGCTGCTAAAAGGACTCCAGAGTTAAATTGTTTTGGAATAAGTGACTTTACTGTCATTTGCACAGGATAGCATGTGGGTATATTAGTACGTATCTGCCTGTCTTTAACATGCTTGCACCATTTTCCTTAATAGTTCTTAAAACAGCCACTGGCAGAGACCCAGACCTTGTTCACAAGGTTTGTATTTTGTGAGGGGCACAGTCCATACAGTGGAAGTTCTGGTTAGAACGGGTCAAAACTTGGGTAGGTCTGTCTAGATGTGGCTGATATATTCTGAAGAAATTTGACAGTTTTTGAGATAGATCAGAGAAATTTATGTTTCCTTTTTTTCCTTCTTCTAGTTCATATATGATGAGAAAATAGAATGGTAAGTTGTATAAATTATTCCATGCACTCCTGTATTTGCCACAAGGCTCACTAGAAAATAGAGTTGCAGTGCAATTGACTTTCATTCTACACACTGAGAGTATGAGCTGGATTGAAATCCTCTGTATTTTGTTTGGGCTTAGTTTTTATGATGGTCACAGAAAACAAAAAGAAAATGTAAGAGCCAGGAAAGATTAAGGAAGTACATAGGCTCTGTGTAAGGCCTGAAGATTCCCATGTGCAGAGAGGGTAACCAAAACTCTTCTGCTTGGATTCTGATTTTTAACATTTATGAGATGCCAGGTGTTCCAATGAACACTCCAGTGTGAATCCTAGAGGAAGATCACAGCACTGTTAGAAACAGTGCTCTCAAAGTTCCTGGCCAGTGCTTCAGCACTGAATTGCAAAAGGCCTTGGTGTTATGATCCTCAGAGGGTAGCTATGGTTTCAGTCTGTATAGCACATTTCTGAAATACATGCATTGCATTTTATTTGCATGTTTATCAAAACTTGAGAGTCTGCTTCCCCTCTCATACTGCTGAGACACCATCTAATCTTAATGATGTGAGTCCTGTGTGCACAAATGTGACTTGTACCAGATGTTTAAGGCACACTCCTACATAAAACTTGTAAAGCATACAGCTGTTTGAATGGCCTTCTAACACTTCTTTCTGTCTTTTTGAGGTGGGAAAGCCTTGTACTCATCATTATGTATTCATTCTACATACTTATCATGAAGTAAGTACTTCTCCTTGCTGTACCCTTTAGATGTTAACTAACCATCATTCTTTTGGTCTTGTTTTGTCCTTGGCCTTCCTCCCTGAGAGCAGTACAGCCAGTCGTGTTTCTGTGTTAGATCTGTTGACTTTTATGCTTTACCACTTTAATTCTATGTTTGTGCTTAATCAGCAGCAAATACTTTCATGCATCCTTTTCATAGTGCACAGAGGTAAAGTAGCTTTTAGAAAAAGTTGAGAAAAATCTTATTTATACAAAGGTATACAAAAAGTTTGCAGGGCGCTTTGGATTGTAAACACTTATCATGTCAGCTCTTACACATATTATATACTCCCTGGAGAACGAGGTCAAATAACATTAGATAGAGTGCTAAGCATGTATTTATCTTCAGACCATCTCATCTTAGTTGTTTACTGATGTCTTCTTCTGTTGTGTCACTGCCTCTGACAGGAGAGTCAGAGGTCTGACTGTTACTGCTAGTGTCTGTGAGTCCACCCTTCTATTGCAAGTTGCTTAGACTTATATCCCTCACAAATCACCCTGTTGGAACTCCCTTTTCTCCTACATCAAGTCTTAGCAGAGCTCATTGACAGCCCTCTTCGATCCCACCCTAGTGCTAAAATAGATATATTCTGTCTTTAGAAGGGTATGGTGAGCAGTCTCAGAAATGCTCAAGAACCCTCCCACAGGGAACACAGTACTGAAGGAAACAGTAAGGTGAATTGTGAGCTGATGCAGGAGGAAAGAAGCTGCTCTATAGTGAGTGTCCTGGCTCCAAAATCAACAGCTCCCTTGTTTTACCTGCACTAAATCTGCTCTAGTGCCTTTTTACAGTTCGCTGTAGGTCATGAGAGATAGGTGCAGTCCTTGCTTTCCTATCAGCTTGCCACTGAGTTGGACAGTCCTTTCTCTTCACTCCTTATTAATTGTCAGAGAACATGCATCTAGGCTTTCCTGCTTGCCTGCATAAGTTGTTCTCAGATAGTTTGAAAGTTTGTGAAGAAAATATAAAAATCCAACCTTTTTAGAGACCTTTTCTTTGCACTTTCAGGTACAATGTGAGGATGCAAAATTTCTTCAGCCTTAAAAGCAAGAATGTTGGAAATGGTGACACAGTCAACAATGAGCTGGAAGATGGTAATAAATGTTATGCCTCTAGTTGTGATGACCCATCCATTCCATTACTATGGAAAGGTAAGGCTGAGCAGACAGGACTTGGAAAAACAGTAGTTCACAGGATATCCTTTTTATTTATTTTATGCAGATCAAAACAATGTCAGTATTCAATTGTAAGCAGGGTTAACTTGATAATTCAGCAGTCAGATTGCCACATTAGAAAAAGTTTTGTTTTTTTTTTTTCTATATTCTGAAAAAAGCTGCTTTGCACATTGGCAATTTTGCTCCCTTTTTATCTCCTGTTCTGTGATGATCTACAACATTGTGAAAGAAATACAGTTTTTTTGCCAAGAAGAAAACAATTTTCACTTCAAAAATTAGTTTGGAATGAGAAGTTGAGATGTGCATGTTGAAGGGAATTACATGGGCAGATCTGTGGGCAAGAGGGGTTACATGTTGAGTTCAGATCCTCAGAAGACTGGTTTTCACATGCCTAAATACTCTGTATACCTCACCAGACACAGATGTAAAATTCAAAAATGCAGGTTCTTTGCTATTTGTGTTTTTGTCATAAAGGAAAGAAGATGATATCCAGCTTGTGGTACTGAAAGTAAGCAAAAATATCTGGGTATTTTTGGCTTGCTTTCTAAGCCTGTTTTTATATTTGTCTTACCTCTCTTCTCTTCCATTCTCCCTTTTCTCTGTAGAGTAAAATTCTTCCCCTTTCAAAGCACAAACCATGTAATTTAGTAAGCAGTTGGGCTGCTCTTAATAAGTGAGGTCTCCTCACTTTGTTCTTTGCACACATCTCCCATTCTAGGAGGCTGAGCTCATCAGCAATGTCAGTAGCATTTGAAAGACCCCCATGTAATAACAAATAATGCCAAACAGGAATTTAGAACAGACTCAGACAATACCACTCTTTTCTGCTTTTAGTGTTTAGGCTGGGATTTCTTTAAGTTACAGGTATACAGGTAGCTATACCTGTAGGTATAGGTTTATTCAGTGACAGCATACTGCTGCTCTGGTCCTAGATAAGGTGTTTAGACAATACTCATTTAAAATTATTTCTCATAGGACATTATAGCATGATTAAATGATGGTGACTTTGAAATACTTCCATCTAATTTTATACTGAACTTTTGGGAGCATTGACTCTGATACAGTGAGGTCTGTAACTTGGATGTGGATTTGTGTCCATGCAAGGTTCTGCAGATACTTCCTGTATTCAAGTGAGAAAAGGGTAATCCAGTTAAACACCACAGATATTAGTGGATTTTAGTTTTAAGGAATTTGTTGGGTTCTGATGTCATCTCCCAGCAGGCTCTCCTCTCTAGCCCTTGTGGTAAAGACACAATAGCACAGGCTGCTTGCCTGTCCATCTGTTCCCTTTTCAAGGAAATGTGTAGATTATTGAATGCTTGTGAAGAACATGCAGAAAAGAAGCAATAAAGCTCCACTAGCAACTGTCCACGTCAGATTTATTTTCTGATTTTGCCTCAAAGATGCACTGATACTGCAGTTTCAGTCAGATTCCCTTTGCCTTCTCCAGCACCCATTACACAAATACGTGCATTGGAGGGACAATTGCTCAAAGAGCCAGAGTGTAAATACTGTAGATACTGTCACAGGCAAACATGCCTGAAAAAGTACAGAAAGAAGAGATTAAGGATTTGGAGTGAGCAGTGGGAGGGGAGGATGGCAGTGTTAGCCTGACTGCTTTATGTGTCAAGATGCTGTCCTAGAAAACTATCACATGGCTGCCTCCATCTTCTTCCCTCCTGTTCTCTCAAAATATGCCATGACCCATCAGTGACTCCCTCTTAGTTGGCACATGCTGGCTTCACAAGCTGAGCTGCATTTCCCCCAGCAGCAGCTTTCAGAAAGGAGCACTGCTAACAGCAAGGAGAGAATTGGGGCTGGCCTCTGCCTTGCACTGGTTAGCAGTTTTAGGATCCACCAAAAAACCTCCCTTATGCTTGCAAAGTTCATGACTTTCAAGAGCTTCCAGTGGTACAATATAAAACATTTCATCACTCAAGTTTCAGAAAGAAAAAGGAGAGATTTTCACCATAAGAAAAATTTCATTTCAAGGATGAGTTGTGCACACACAGGTAAAGGCAAACTAGATGTACTTTGTAAATACTGCTCCAATTTTCAAAGCACAAATGTGTATTACCCTTGACTTTCATTGTGTTGACCCAAATTTCCACCAGGTGGCATGGTTTGACCCCTGCCTGAAACCAGAAACTTGGGCAAAAGTGGGTTTCTGAAGGACTGGGTTTCAGAGCTAAAGTCATCAAAAGCTTTCTGTTGATTTTGACAGGGTTGTTGGTGATGAACCTTTGATAGTGAGCAATGAGTTTGTTGGAAAGAAAAGCTGTTGTCAGTAGAGTTTTTTTTTAAGGATTGTCCAAAGTAGAAGTGTAAAAGGCTTTTCTCCTTTTCACGTTTCTTAAGACAACTTTTAGATGGGGTCCATACTATATGGGGCTAAGATATGTGGGTTTCTTTACAGGCATAGGGAGTCAAACTGAAAATAATGAAAATAATAAGAGCAATGTGCCACAGTAAGTCAGAATAGCTGCAGTACTTAAATACATATTTAGTACAAGGGATTCTACAGCAGCGCTGAGTTTTTTATTATGGTACTTTTCTCAAACCTGAATGTTTGTTTGCTCACTGTCTTCATAGGGCTCTAAGAAAACAGTTTCCAAGTAACTTCAGTGCTCCCATGTTTTTCATGTCACTGTAAGATGAAGCATTTTAGTTAATTCTCTGGAGGAACTCACTTGGGAACAGTTAATCTGATGAGACTGGAACCTTTTTGTCCTTACTACCATTGCTGTCAAATATTTATTTTTCCTTAACTAAAGCAAATGTTAAGTTTATGTGGTTGAGTCCTGATTGTGAGGGCTGATTACTAGGAAACCTGTCTGGCTGTATATTCCTGCACAGAAAAGCTGCTACACTCCAAGAGTCACTGGAGTGGATGTGCTCCTTATTTGCATCATCAGCCACAGTACTCAGCAAGGCTAATTTGGTTTAGATGTTGAAATAGAGGAGGATAATTGCTCCCTTACATTTAGCAAAAAAATACTGTTAGTTCTATTCTGTATTAGAGATCATAAGCTGCAAGCACGACTCCAGAGTGGATTCTTTGAGGAAGACACATTTCTTTGTGAAACCAGAGATCTTACATTTATGACACTTCAGGTGACCCCAGTGTACTCACTGAACAGATTTTAGTGAAGCAAGGCAAGACACTCAAATGCTTGGAAGGGTGAAAGTTACAGATGTTTATTGGTGATTTACAGGCTTGCTGGTTTTTCTTGTTGAATCATTATGGAGAATGTGTTTCTTCAACTGCAAATGTGCTAGAAGATGCTTGAGACGGCAAAGCCTTTATTGCATGATGTGACTTAGATGCATGCAGGAATCCAGTCTTCCTGAAAAACAAAAATATTCAACACTCTAACAATGCAAAAGAGTAACAATATAGGCTTCTGTATGTTTAGAACAGATCCATTTTAATTCCATTGTTTGAGTTGAATGTTTTCTTAGATTTCCTTTGCTTCCTGACTGGAACCATGCACTAATTATCTTTCACTTCTACCTCCTAAATTCTCCTCCTCTTCCTAATGTAAGTAACAATGCAAAAGGGGAGGGAGAGGGGGAGGCCAAGCTAAGCAAAGCAGAAAACAAGCTGTAAAGATTTTTTTTTTCTGTACATATTATTATATGTAATAATTAATATTTATTATGGTCATGTATGTATTTCCTGCCCTGCTTTCTAACACCACATGGGTATGTCTCCTGTCTGCTGAGCCTTGCTGTGCTTGCTATGTGTAGTCTGTAGCATTTGTGAGAATATTGGTTTGTTGGTGATCTCCTAAAGTCCTTGCCTGTACTTGTGTTGATTCCCAATAAAATTTTGTCTCTACGTGTTCTTAACATGGTAGAAATTTTTTAACTTTGTAATCTTAAACTTGGTACAGAATCCTTTATATTAACAAAGGCTTACTTTGTTAGTTAGTTAGAACCGTAGATTTGTTCTTGAAAATTCTTGTCATAATTTCAAATGTTTTCATGTGGGAGATACTGGTAATATTCTGTGAAGGTAAAGTGAAGATTTCCAGGAGTGAGCACAACATTAGGGCCTTCTGAATGTGCAGCACCTTGATCCAATGGAATAGCTTTAGAGGTTTCAGGAGTGCTTTCTACACTGCCACAGTGCAAACTTCTAGAAAAAGGGTACAAAACTCTAGTGGGACATAAGCAAAGACAACTGGTACTACAGCATGAACAGCTGGGGGAAAACTGCTCCCACTAATCTGACAGTGACTTGGTGGCTGCCTTAGTAGAGGGAAATCCTTTTCCAGCATGTGATCTAAACACAGAGCACAACTGATGAGGAGATTTGCCAGGCTGCAGAAATATTAAAGTCACTCATAAATTCTGGCATTCAGATAAATGTTTCCCCCACCTGAGCCTGGAAAGACCTGACTCTGGATGGTGGGACACATGGTGGGTCAGTTGCACTGCTAACTCTGTCCCTTGTGATCATTAGTGAAGGGGATCCAGCAGTATGGCAAAAACAGTGTTGTGATGGTGGATGAGATAATCTGCTCCAGTCCTCCCAAATACCGGTTCCCTGAAGCTGGATTACGGATTATGATCACAAATAAGTTTGGACCACGCACCAGAATGCGGATGGCAAGCAGACTCATCATTAATGAGGTACGTTCATTAGGAAAACAGAAAATGACCATGAGGCAGAGGGGTTACCAAAGAGCTGTGCTCATAGTGATGTTGGAATTTAGATTCTCCCATGTTCCTACGGTTGGGAGAGAACTATGTCTTTCTCAAGCAGCTATATGAGAACAGATTTGAAGATTGATTCCCAGCTGATGATGTTGCCTGTTCTAACGGGAGGGCAGTCAAATCGGAGGGACTACCTTACCTCTCTGACAGAAGATGTTTACTTCAGTGTGTGTGTGTGCAAATGTGCACATTTAGATTATATCTATAGCAGAGTAATTGGTTTGGATTATTACAAAAGTGGTTAGGATAATTGACAAGACAACCAAAAATTTTTAAAACTGCTCTTGTATTATTAACACTTCAGGATTCCTTCAGAGATTTGCCTTCCTATTTGGTATTCACTGTAGTCGTCAACTCAAAGTAAAAATGGACCAAAATATTGTCATGAGTGGAATTTGCCCTGGACAGTTTCAGTTATCTCTTACTTGATATATTGTCATGAGCGTATATTGCTTGTTGCATACCCTGCAGCTGAAGTGACTTGGCAAGTGTGGCTGTTCCGAACTTGCTGGAGCACTAGGGGTAAAATCTTTAGCCTACCTACCTTGGGTTTTATGAAGGCAGAATTTTATAGTTTGCTCCCGCAATATCAAATCTGAGAGCTAGTAAATAGTTTTCAACATCATAACACAGTTCATGTGTTTAGCCAGCCTTATGAATTCCATAATAAAAGCAAGCACCATTAATACCTTTTTAACAAAAATTCAGTTTGACAGTAGAATAGTGAAAGATGTTATGGTCAGGAGTAGAAGATCAGACCAGGCACATGGCAACAGTTGACTCTGTAATCCTTGAAGTCAATTCATTGATCAGTGAAAAATTCTTAATGGCTGTGTGGGTAGGAAGCTGATACTTGGCCCTTTCAACATCTGCAAAAAAACATTCTCTAAACTTGAGCATTTTGGATATATGGTCTTACGTATTCTCACTTATATATTCACAAGTTTTGCAAAGTATTCACATAGGATATTTTTCTCTTTTTCACTAGAGTATGTTGATACTACTTTCAGAATTTTTTTTTGCAGTTTGTGCAGTTACCTTATTTTTCAAGGCCTTTCAGAGCACTTTTCAGGAGTTGATAGTTTGTCAGGAAAAGAGAACACTTACCAACCCTGCATTACCTCATCTAATGAATTAAAATAATGATTTTTTTATAAAAGTAAGAACTTACTGTTGCATCTAACATTCTCCAGTGCATGAATGGGTATATAAACTGATGTTTAAAACCTATACTTGTAATTGTTTTACTGTGTGTTGGAACTGCAGCAATTCTTATACATTTCTGCAGGGCCAATTATGAGCTTCATATACTTGGACAAGGGCAAGAAGGATTAGTCTTGCTTTTGAAATTAAAAATAGGAAGTTCAAATTTACCTCAGTGTATGGAGTTGAGAAGGAGGGAGAAGAGTTGGATCTGAGAAGGAGAGCTCCTAGATAATGAGTCATTCATAAACCAACTCTTAATTGTGCAGAGGTGTCTTGAGTGTTACCATTTAATTATGGTGCTATTGCTGGTATGAGTGGGAGCTGTTGAGTGAGAAGTGCTTTACAATACCACATTGGTGCAAACATGGGTGGAACAACAAGTGTTACAACATTCTCCATCATGGCTTGAAAGACTCCTGCCAGTAATTTTGAAGTGGATGGTTAACCTGGTGAAGGCTGATGCCTGCTGAAGACAGGTAGGCCACTGACAGGTTTGTTGTTGACTGAAAGGAAAACTTCGAGGAGAAACTTCATGGCTCATGTCACTGGGGCTGGACAGAGAGCAAAACTCAGATGTCACAAAGTAAATACTTCCTGAACTATGGCAGTTTTGTATTTTGACACTGCAGCGCCAGCGGTTAATCCAATCTGCCAATGGCTCAAGCAAAGCTCTTCAGAACAGGAGACAAGAGAATATTGAAAATGGAAACATCCCTGTGGGGAACCAAGAGGAGGAAAATGAACAGGACAGTCTAACTCCATTTTCAGTGCCAGGTAAGGCACTACTACTTTCTAGATGTTTATAGTACTGAAAAAGAAGATATTTTAAATGCCAAATGCTGGGTTGTAAGAAAGACAGCCTGTGGGGAAAGAGGAGGAAAGGAATTGGTTTGACTGTCTGAAGGGTGGATTTGCTGGCAGTAAAACTGAGGTGGAGGCTTGGTGGCTAAAAGCAGATCTTAGGAAAGTGTTTTCCAGTCATCATGGACGGCCGTGGTAGAAGTGCTGATTTGCCAGAGGTGAAGGGAAACAGGAAAGGGAAGTTTATATTGAAACATGTCAGAATGACCTCATGAGCACTGCAGCACAAGTAATTTTGAAGTCAACAATTAACAATGACTTGCTGGAAATTGCTAAGCCAGAAGCACGTTGGTGTACATTGAAATTGTTTTAATGACTGTAGTGGGGGAGGCTTCTTGGACAAAAAGGAGAGAGAGAATGAGTGTTTAAAATTGTTAGAATAGCTGTATGCAATAGTATTCACCTTTTAAAATTTTTTGGTGTAAAGGAAATTTTTTTTTTAATTCTTTGGTGTAAAGGGCTATGTATAACCAACCTCTCAACGCTGGTGCCCTTGGCACATTGCAGGTTGATTTCTGCCCAAATGCTTTGGAGATTACACAGCAGAGATTAGATCAGCCCTCACAGACATGTGGTTTGTCACATAATTACTGTTTAACCTAAGTATTGCTTGGCATGGATAAATACCACATCCAGTGAAAAAGAAGCATTTTCCATGTTATATCTAACTTCTTAGCAATTCCATTTCTTCATTCGCTGTCATTGTAAAAGAGATGTTTGTGATTGAACAAACATTGAAGCATATTGTGTGAAGACTAGATGATAATGTATGTTTTCCTGTGTTAGTGTGCTCCCCCTAGCTAGCTTCTTATAGTCACCAGTTATGGATTGGAGTGAGGAATGGAAGCAAACTAATTCACTGAAGATAGGCCCATTAGATGAGCTTCTGTTCATTCATGAGATAGTGAAAAAATACTTTTATTTTGTGGCAAACTAACAGGATCCAAGTCAGCAATATGCTTGTGCACCTGAGCATGTTAATGACAAGAGTAGTAGTAATAATAATAATAGTAATAACAACAGAAACTAATAAACAACTTCTAAAAAGGAAAAATGTCTCCCCAAACAATCTAAACATAATTGAATCCTGGAATTATTAAGGTTGGAAAAAACCTCTGAGATTATCTAGTGCAGGTGTTAACCCAACACTGCCATGTCCACCACTAACCAAGGTACTGAGCACCACATCTGTGCTGCCATTGGCAGTGATTCCACTGCTTCCACGAGCACTCTCTTCCAAATCTTGACTACCCTTGCATGTGTTGGCAAAGAAGACTTCTAAACTGAGATGGTTTTTGGATACAAGTTTTTGGATACAAGTTTTGATTAGGGTAGTGCAATCATGCATTTCTTCTTACTTTCCAGGCAGCTTTTTTATGAAGAAAACATAGGTAAATTTCATATTATAGCTTCCTAAGTGTGTGACATTCACAATAGATAAAATACTTTGAACTAAAGAGGGAGTTATTAATTATGTCACTGGTCTTCTTTAAATGCATTTTTTCTGCATTTTTGAAAAAGACTTTAAAGATAAAGTTTAACAGGCCAGAGTGGAACCACTGGTCATTCAGTTCATACTGAATGGAGCAAAAGTTCAACATGAGCTCAAGACAGCTATGTAAAAGTGAATAACTGATTGTATAAAATCCTCATAATTACCTTCAGGTATTGTCACTCCTGTTGTCTGGAGTTGACTGGTTGGATTCTCATTGCTCAACTCATATATTCTAACTGAGAATTCTTTTATTACGTTTTCAAAACCACCCCTTTAATAAGTTTGGTGAAAATATGAGGACCCAGCATCATGCTTTGTTGTTGTTTAAGTACCGTGGCACAATCAATAGCCTAAAAAAATCCAGACATTTAAAACTGGCTTCAGGGAAAAGGTAGTTTGCAGAGAGTTTCCAAGAATCCACTTTGGTTTTCTTTGATTTATTTTCAGTCTGAGAATAAGGCACATACATTTTCTAAAGATCAGGAGATCATGTATTTTTTCAGTACTAGAAAGTGTTCTCTGAAGAATAGGCTTTCAGTTTTCAATACGATTTTTCAATTCAATTGGTTGTGGCGTCCTAGGTAAAAAAATCCACTCTTGTACTTTAGGAGCTGCAACTGCAGTGGCTGTGAGTTGGCCCAACCCCCTTTTTTGTGCTCTTTTCTAGTCACATTTTGTAGCCTAATTCAGGATTTCACTTTCTTTCTTGAGATTGCATATTCTAGAGACTTTTGCAAGAACAACTTTGGGTTTTTTTTTCTGAAACAGAAGTAAATGAAGTATAAAGTTTTATCTCTGAGTGATTCACAGTTATTATTTGTCATCTCAAAATGCATCTGTTGCATTTTGTTCTTTTTTTATCCTCTGTCAACAGGAGTGCTCAGCAATAAGTGTAGGGCTTTAGCAAGCAGAAATAGAGAATATAGTTGTTACATGAAAACAGCCTCAAGCTGTTTCAGCATATATCCCCTTTGTCAGACATCCAGAGAGATTTGCTCCCAAGTGTGGGTGTGGTTCAGGCCCATCCTGAAAAAGGAGACAACATACAGTTTTTGTGGGAGCTGCATATGATATCATTCAAACAGCCTTTGCCTTTGGTTTCTGTGTGGGAAAAACACATTCTTTTTAAAAGAGGAATGTCTTTCCTGACCTAACCTTCAGACTTTTGATCATCTCCCAGGAGAAAGGCTCATTTGAAGCTTTACAATTTGATTACTCTACAGTTGTTTAAAAACAGGTCTTAAAGTTTAAAAAAACACCCCACAGATCAGAATAAAATAGGACATAACTGGGCAGGCATATGTTGACAACAAAATGGTGTGTTAAAGCCCTTGCATAGCTCAGTGGTCTTTTAGAGCCCAGACTCAGAAAAACACTTCTGTGCAGCTCTTAATGGATGCTTAAATCCCTTCCATTGTCACATGTTCAGCACCCTTTAAAATACTCGGTGATCTCAGCTCCTGATCATTTCACAGGAATGAAGAACTACTTCTCTTACAGAATTGGAGCATGGCTGCTTTATATAAGTCATGATGGTGTTAGCTAAAACAGGAATAATAATTCCTTGAGCTAAAATAAGATGGCAATAAAGGAGATTAGCAATCCTATCCATTTTTGTTTGGATCCAAAATACAAAGATAACGTGTAGGATAGAAGCAAAAAAAAAAAAAAAAAAAAAAAAAAAATAAAAAAAAAAAAAAAAAAAAAAAAAAAAAAAAGAACAGTATCTACTAAAACCATGTAAAATGTCTGTACTTGGTCAAAACAAACATTTATCTCAATATTCTGACTCCAGCCACAATTTCATGAAGAAGCCTGGGGAAGAGTGGGACAGGACAAGTTATTGTTCAGCTGTTTTCTCCTCAAGGAGCTTCCTGGTCTGGATGCAAAATTTTGATCTAAAGTTCCTTAGTTTGTTTCTTCTTCATTAACCTAATCCTAATGTCTGATTGTCAGTGAATCAGTGAACCCATAACATCCTTTGAGAAGGAGCTTCATGATTCTGTGAAGAACCTTTTACTTACTTTGAACCTGGCTCCTACTCCACTTGATGTCTTCCTTCATTGGAAACACGGTGGACAAGGCAAACCCAGTGCACCACTTGAACACTCAGCAGGCTGTAGATCTTTGTTAGACAGCAAGATTAAAACATACAGAATAAACCAGGCCAAAATCCAACCAAGTGTAACAAGATATGGGGAGTACCTCTGTTCAGTTACATCTTACTTTTCTTGAATGTTGTCTTGTGTAAACCTATTGTAACTCTGAGAGAAAAGCTCGTTTCTGCATACTGGAGCAAATTCTCTGTACCAAAAATGTGTATTTAAGAGAAGATTATTGGCATAAATCCAAATATTCAAAGTGTGGTAAAGGCACAGGCTGAAAATAGAAATCTGAGTTGTTTTGGACAGATTTCACGGTCTGGAATTTGGAACTTGTATTATGGAAAATGAAACTTCCGAGAAGAGTATCAGTAGGTTGAAAAATAGTCTGTTTTGGATGAGGATGAGAAGTAAAACCTTGGTATTTTCCAAAGGAAAAAAAGGTTTCCGAAGGTCTGTTGCAGGACAACTGCAATAAAAATATTTTGTCTGCTGCCCACTTGGAAGGATGATAGAGACTAAGCCTCTTTGGATACTGTTTTACACACTGCATAGCCTTTTTCTAGAGTGCTCATACAGAGAATCTCTTGCTTCCACAATTTACAGGATAATTTGCAGAGCTGAAATCACTAAGAATTTTCCAAGAAGGTGGAGAGTCAGCTGCTATGTTAATTTTCCTAATGAAAAATTGAAAGCCATTTTCTAACAGTTTTTTTTATTCTTTTGCAACAGACATTTTTCTGTGGAAAATCATTCTGATGGAAAATTCACAATAGGTCTAGTTTGTTGTATCTGTTTCAGTTTTTTTTCTATATAGTGTACCATACTTGTGAAAAAAAATGTATTTCTCTGTTGTGTTTTGGATACTGGAAATTACTAGAAATTAATTAAATTCTCAGATTGTCTAATTTACTTATATTGAAGTTCTCCAATCAGTCTGAACTCTGATGAAAAGAAATTTACTTCCTGTATGGGTTATTACAAAGTTCCTAGTGTAGAGGCATATGTGTTACTTTTAAACATTTTTGGGTTGAGAATTGACTTGATATTGATAATAATACGTGGGTGTAAATTCATCTTTGTAAATACAAAGATTAATTAGAACCAAGGGGACAGGTGTTTGGAAAGTAATTTTTAATTGGAGAAAAAACAAGTTGGGTTTTTTTGTTTGGTTGGTTGAGTTTTGTCCTTCCCAAATGAAAAATGATAGAGATATTATAAAATATAAATAAGGAATTAAAAAAACTTTAACAATTATTAAGTGAAGCATGAAAAATGTTTGCAGCAATAATCTTTCAGGTGAGCCTGGATGTGACTCATTTTTACTCTAAGTTTACCATCAACAAAAAATCCCTGGAAAAATAGCAATGGATAGTAAACTTCAGGAAGCCTTTCTCATTTCAGTTAGAGAATACTTTTCCCAGTTTTCAAGTTACCTTAAGAGATTTATATGAATTCACAAAGATACAGTTATGAGGCTCCTGTGTGCCAATTAGATTCATGCTTTCCAGGGATGTTATAATTTTTTTTAGATCAGTCAGATTGTCATTGCTTTGTGTAAGGAGATTCTTCTTTCACTTGGGTAGGTTTAGGCATGTTCTGAAGTAACTAATGTATGGAGCTGAGATCTGTGCTTGGATGACATGCTTTTAAAGGGAAAACTAAGTGGAAAAGCTGTCAAATTTAACTAACTATAACAACTTAGGTGTGATTCTTGATGGTGTAGTTACAGACTCCACTCTGTTTAAACTTGAAAAAGTGTTTTCTATGCAGCTTATTTACTAGGACATGTGGGCTGTCTGCACTATGTGCCTTTAGAAGTTCTGTTTCAGACTAGCTCTAGCTTGGTCGTATGGATAAAATGCCCATCATTACTTGGAACACTTTTAATTTTGTGCCTCTGGTTCAGCTTTATACCAAGGGAATGTTACTGCTGTGATTCAAGGCTGCTTCATGTTGCAGACTAAAATTGCAAACCAGAAAACACTAAGTGAGGTCAATCAGTGCCTTTACTTCAAGAATACACTTCTGATCTAAAGGTAAACACAAATGTCATTTCACACTTTTATACTGAGCCCCCCTCAGTCCTCTGAGAGTGCTGCAAGTAGGACTCTTTTTTCTGTAAGAAGTGCTTTGTTTAGCTCCTTAAGGAAATACTTGTTTCTTCTCAGTGCTGTAATATGTGTTGCTGGCTTTGTTCATCAGGACACACTATCTGTATGTGAAAGTAATTAATTTGTACATAACATCTGGAAAGATGACTAGCCCAGGAATGTGTTGAAAATTAGCAGAGCTCTTTGTTGTAGAGCTGCCACTTCATTTTCAGAAACATTGTAATCAAGCTCTTTTGTAATGATACCTCTCTGAAATACTTGGAGTGCTTGGCTTCCAAATATCTGTGGAAACAGAAAAAAATGGATGTATGAAGCAGTGAAAACAACTCCTTGCAAAAAACTCCACATCTTCTCGTTTTACAGTAGAGTGTTGTGAACAGAATGTAGACCAGTGTTGCTTTCTGTAATAAAGCAATATACTTTCATTTATGCAGGGGGTTGTGCAAAATACAGCTTTCCTTGGTTGTGTGGGTTGCTGCAGGAGCCTTTAAACCCAGGGCTCACAGGAGTGGGTGGTACCACTGTTAAAACAGCTGCACTGGGTTCTTGTAATGGGACAGAACAGCTGTGTATTGAATAATGGCCTAAATGGGAATGAAAATTTTCTTCCTTGTAGAGGTACTAGGGAGCTATTCAACAGTCGTAAAACAATTTGTTATGAGCCATAAACATACTTAACTGTAACATCTTTATCATTAAATATTTTTATTATTTTAGAATGGGTGGTCCAAACCAAAACAACAGAACAGCAAAAGTACTTTCAAAATACATTAAAAAAATACTTTGCATCTTCTAGCTGTGTATTGATTGTGCATTCATCTAAGCCAGGTGAAATGAATAAAGTCATCTGTTTCCTGAGAAAATAAAGTCTCACTTTATTGAGGTTGCTGCTAAATATATTTGAAAGTCTTCAAAAACTGCCAAGTGACAGCATAAGAGTAGACTTCTTTAGCCCTACGTGTCACACAAGTTCCATGACCCACAAGAGTAGGAGCTGAATGAAAAGGCCTGAGGTAAAACCAAGGCCAGATGTACTTAAGGCTTTATATTAAAGTTTATAAAAAGCTAGAAAGCGAAAACACAAAACAGAAGAGCATGTAGAATGTGTCAAGTAAGCTGCTTTGGCCGTGGTGGTTCAGAGCTATCCCAGGCTAACTGCAAATGGCCACTCGACTTCTCTTGTTAACCCAGCAAACCCCAGAATTACACACGGCTCTTCCCCAAAGTCTCAAGCCTGTAATGAATACAAATGTCACTCCCACAAACCATCTAACTAAGCAGCTTCAACTCCAGACATTGTGTGGGTAAAACATCACCACTAATAGAGCCAGGAATTTTAATCTGACACACATCCATTCAAACTCATCAAAGATAATGGAAAGGCAAGCCCTCCTCCACGTGTAATTAGGTTTTCTTGGAAATGAACAAACATAGCTGCGCCAGTGGTATGGCACTATGCATTCTCAGTTAAGCATTTGTTTGAGTAATTCAGGATACTAAACAGGATCCCAGACAAGATGTATTCCCCAGCAGAGGCTCTATTTGTTCTTAAGGCAATTCTGTTTCTTTTCTTTATGTTACTGAAAAGAGAAACGGCACTGCCTATGTGTAGCAGCACCAAAGTCAGTCAGATTATACCCAAACAGATCAGAATTGGATCCACATTTTTTTCAGTCATCCACTGACCCTGCATTTGGGATTATGTGCTGAAGATGTTACTGGCCTAGGCCATGCTGACTTGTTGGACTATGAACCAAGCTTAGCAACTTCAGTACACAGAGTAAAAATTAACTATCTAGGGATCTTTTAGTAATCCAGACTGTAACAAATTAAACAGGAGGAGGCATAAACTACTAGGATGTTTCACAGAATATTTACAGCCTTGTTAACAATTAAAGAGAGAAGTGAGCCAAGAAGTATAATTTCCTGGACAGAACAGGTAGAAAGATAACTATATGTAAGCAGGGAGAAAAAGGTCTTTCCTGTAAAATCTGTGATAGATCCTCAGTGACATGTAAAAGTCTAGAATTAGAAATGACCCTGGGACACTTCAGTAGTTTTATGCATTAGAAATTCCACAGCCAGAAGCTATAAATGGGACTAAAGAGCAAAGCTTAGTCTAAGATTTCCTGATGAGTTGATGACATCTCAAAATTCACAAGAAAATCTCAAGTTAGAAAGCTGTTTCTTAACCCAAGCAAGAAAATATAGTTCTAGAATATATACAAAAGTTAATTAATAAAGATATTTAGACTCAACAAGTTAAATTAGACTAGTAAGCAGCCTCATAAATTATAAAAGTATTTTTGATTTTTAAATGTTAAATATTAAATTTTATATCATCCTGGTGCACATTGGTCAAGAGTTCAATCCAATTAAAATCACTAACAAAAATTCCTGTTAAACACATCTTAAATCCCAAAGTCTTTGCTGAAAGAAAATTACTGGTGAAATTGATAGGAGCTGGTTAGTAACTGTTCTTTATAACGTACCTAATAACTTCCCTGGAAGATGTACCTGTTGATTTCCTTCAATGTGATCGATGATTTTTTTCAAAACAGCATATTTTAGTTGATATCAAGCACAGCATCGTGAGTTAATGATGCAAACCCCTACTTGAATGGAAACACAATGTAAAGAAAACCCAAGCCAAAATGGCCACGATGTTGGTTGTGATACTTTCACTTAGCCTGATAGACAAATTTGTCATCCTGCTTGAAGGATGCTTCATTAACTGTATAAATAGTATTTCATTTACTTATGGCCCAGTTATAAAATAATTCTGTTTTATGTATTGAGATTACTTTTGTAATACTGTAAATTTTAAACAAATGACAAGGTGTGTACCAGTCTTCAGCAATGACAGTTCTTGGGTATTTCGCACCAGTTGATATTGGAGAGCTGCACAAGGGAGGTCACTCCCTTGTTTCTTTTTCCAGAAGTTTTCTTTTACCATTTCAAGGTGGTGTTATATGCAGATAGACTAAACATATCTAGATATTTTAAGCATCAGTTTATTTCAACTTCTGTCCAAGTTAGAACAATAAGGCATATTAAAAAAATTGCCATGTTCATGTGCCTCTGTTTTCTGTTGTTGCACAGAATGTACAAGTTATTTTCACCACTTGGATTTTGATATTTCTATTAAGATGAGAGGGTTTTTTGGTTGGTTGGTTTTGTTGTTGGGGTTTTTTTAAATTCTGGATTTGTAGTAATACATTTAAAAGAGCAACAACGTGACTTAATTTTGCTTTTAATATCAGCTGTGATTTTAAATCATTGTAATTCTTCCATGGATTTTCATAGATCTTGGCAGACGTAACTATAAGAAGATTCTGGATGAGCATGCAGAACTTGGCTGAAAGTGACAAGGCCAAGTATAGTTGAAAGGTACCCTGGAAAATGAGCTGTCATGCACAATTGTGAACATCCTTCTGGGATCATCTGCTCTGCTCAAAGAGGTGTAACTGAGCCTGGGATAATGATGGGAAAGCTCAACTGTTTCTTTCCTTTGTCCTGCAGATGGAATAGTGAACAAAATTAAATGGCTTTTGACATGGCCATTGATATTCTTGCTGTTTACCACAATTCCAAACTGCAGCAAACCACGCTGGGAGAAGTTCTTCATGTTGACATTCATCTTGTCCACTCTCTGGATTGCCTTGTTCTCCTACTTCATGGTGTGGATGGTAAGTGTATGTAGCAGGATTTCATACTGAGTGAAATGTGCATCTCAAAGTATGTAAAAATCTTCTGTGTATTTGTCAAAAAAAGGCATGTAATTGTAGTGCAGTCTCTCCAGCTCATACAATGATTATTATAATTTTATCTTTTTGCTGCCTTTTTTTTTTCTGCAGAAATAATTGGGTCTTTACTGTATAGGGCACAATACAGTACATGAAGGTAGTGGAGAACATCTCTACTTCTCTCAATTGCCTGTCAGGCATTTGAAAATCACTTTATGTTTCCTCTCATGAAAGACTGTGCTTTCTGTATACTTTTTGCAACTTTCTATATATTTTTTGCATTGTAAAACAATCCTCTAACATAGACCGTGCCTAAGAAATTAATTTGCCAGCCAAAGCCACACATTTGTATCATATTATATGTCCTTTGGAAGGTCATTCTCTGTAGCTTGGTTCCATATATAGATATTCCCTTCACAAATGAGAGAAGTGCTCATTAAGGGTGCAGCCCATTCTGCTTTAAGAGGCAGCTGGGCCATAGTACCTTGTTACCAGTCTGAGCAAGAGAATCATGCTGACTTCTATTCCCGGGCCTCTGCTAGCCCCTGAAGATAAGGTGTGTCAGTTGAGTTCCTAAAATACCTTTTCTTAAGTGAAGGGTCCAATTTCCCTCATGTGATAGAATGGCAAACTATTTCAAGAAAACAGCACATAGCCTAGAAGACTTCCATCCTTAGCAGTCTCAGCAGGGAAACAACTGTCTGACCCTGGTTCAGTCTTCTCACTCTCACAAGCCTGTTTCCTTTTCAGCTGCCTTTTCTTGATGTTTTTTCAGCCCTCTTTGGATACAGTTAAAATACAGTTCCCTGTCCTTTCTAAGAGCTCTGCTGCAATCTTCAGAGATTTCTTAAACTCTTTTCAAGATGCATCTGGAGTATCAGGGGACAGTATAACCAGACATGCTCACTTCAGGATTATATGAGAAGTCACATAAGAAACTAGTTCCTTCTTCATGTGTTAGGTTATAATAAGTTCTTTATATCTCTGCCACTTTATTACAATATAATATTGGTTGCAGTCCTTTTAAGAATAGAACCAATGAGAATCTTGCTATTTGTGGAAACAAAAAAAACCCAAATCCACTGATTTTACTGTATCTTCTTAAAACAGCAGTATGTCGTGTTAGTACAACAGGAAATGGAGATTTTGTTTGTCCATAGAACGTTGAATAATAAGACCCAAAGACTTTTCCTTTGCACAGGCTTGGTTTTAGGCTGGTTATTCCACAAGTATTTAATTTGCAGAAATGGATAAGTATTCTGAGTCTATTCCTGTTAGAGTCACACCAGAAATCAAAGTTAAGAGTATGCCACAACTGTATTGGAATGAGGAGACTCTCCAAATATGATAAGCTAATCTGCCTTCCTCCTTGTTCAGGTGACTGTGATTGGATACACCCTTGGGATACCAGATGTGATCATGGGCATTACTTTCCTGGCTGCAGGAACAAGTGTCCCAGACTGCATGGCCAGCTTGATAGTAGCAAGGCAAGGTACTGTGTCTGCTGAAGCATAGCTGCAATGTTACATATTGCTCTGTGATTTGCTTCCTTCATACACACTGATTGTCAATGCAATTTTATAATTTTATTTTAATTTTCACTGTTTCAGAACCTCATTAAAAGCCAAAACAGTTTGCTAATTATTGTGAACCAAAAACTATCTTTTGCTTATTGGGATGGGGCATTCTAGTGTTCTGGAAGGTAATTCAGCCTCAGATGTCCCATGCATGGAATGTATGAGTCAGGGTAAAAAGACAAAAGTCATAGACAAAACTAGAATATCAGCTAATAAAAACTACTTTGAAGAATATATACTGACAAGCACTTCTCTATGTAGGACTTGTACTGATTTCTAGAAGACTTCTCAAATCCAAGGAAGTGAAGTGATTTGAGAGGATCTGGCAGAAGTGTTGTTGCTCCAGGCAGAGTTCTCATTCAAATGCAGATCTCTTTCCCACTGGAACATATGAATAGCTGCACTGGAAAGAGTTTTGGATTACTGACATCTACATCCTCCTCAGCTGTCCATTTGAAATTGTCAAAGGCTTTCTTATTTATCTTTAAATTTTGTTTAAATTTCGTTATGTTTCATTTTTTTATTTGTAAAACACCGGTAGCAGCATCCCTTTCCATTGTTGAAAAGCATTAGAGCTGACAGTGTGATCCTCTGCCCAGCAGTAGAATAAGAAAAAGACCTAATTTTATTCTTTTCCACTATTTCAATTCCTATAGCTTTTTTTTTTTTTTTAATCAGATCTCCACAGACATCAGCAGACATCCACATGTCCTGCAGACATCATTGGGCAAACAACAAGGGCTTTTCAATGATAAAATAAGTACTCAAAAGCCCCACCTTTGTAATCTGAAATAGGAGTAGTGCTGTTAAATGTTGCTTGCTTGAAAAGTGCTATATATTCGAAGTATATAATTTTCCATGTTTCATTATTTGTTGTGTACAGAATATTCTCACAAAAACAGTACAACAAAAGCTTCAAAATTATTATGGAACCACCTTCCTACTAAATTAATTTTGCATATGTATTAATTTAAGTGAAAAGTTTTTTCAAGAACGAGAAAAATGTTACATTTTAAAATTAAAAGACTACTTCTTTAGATTAGTTCTTCTGTTGTACTAGACAAAAATACTGCAACAATTGTTTGCTCTGAAAATTAATGTAAACACTAGATTGACAAAAAGGGGTCCAATGCCCTTAAAGACAGTACAGGGACTCTGCAGTGCTTGAATTCAAGAGAGTTGTTCACAGACAGAATGGACAGTTGTTCACAGACAGGTATAGATGGACACTACCATCATTGGATCCAAAGCATTACCTTATAGATCATGTATTTATGGTATGGTACTGTCTGTCTCTACTCTCTTTACTCTGAAACTATATTTGGGACACATTCCATTTATGTCAGAGTTCCTCTTCCTTTTCATTTCCTTCCTTTCCAGTAGTCACTTAGTGGAAGTGATTGAATAGTTAGGCCAGTTAGGTCTAAGGGAAGGTAGCAGGGACAGAAAGAATTTTGCCTTCCTCATATCCACTGAGACTGGTGCAGAATGAGATGCCAGTCACTGGTGAACATTAGAAGTAGATTTTGAATAATACTTACTACTTTGCCACTATTTACCTTTCTTTTCCTTTCCTGTAGTATTTTACTGGTTTTGAAGTGAAATTATTACTGATTAAGCCCCGTGGAAGTTCATAAGATCTTTGACTATTATCTGGTTGGTTGTTTTCAGGATCTCTTTTCACTCACATGAGAGAAAGGTCACATATCCACATACTAAATCCAGTACATAATCTTCAGGCTCCCTGTGGCTGCAGTCTACCTAGAGCAAGACTTTGGCATAGACCTTGGGTGCTGCATGGCTCCCACACACCCTATAAAGGCTTTGCAAGGCACAAGGAAGGTGTAGTTGGAGTGAGCAATTGTTGCACTTTTTTTTCAGAAGCCAGGCCAATGTTATGAAAATTGTCTCCCTACCTCACTACCTCAGATATTCTGGCCAGTTCAAGGAGGATTGGATCAATGCAGATCATTCCCCTTTAGTTTCCTCCAGTGCACTGAGTAATGGCCATATACTTTGATTTTATCAAAGAGTTGTTTTTTGATTTTTTTTCTCTGCAGGCCTTGGTGACATGGCAGTATCCAATACAGTTGGGAGCAATGTCTTTGACATTCTGGTGGGACTTGGTGTTCCATGGGGTTTGCAGACCATGGCGATTGATTATGGATCAACTGTATGTATACTTGGAAAATCTTACATTTGCACTTTTATTCTGTTTTTAAAAAATCCTGAAAAGAAAGCATGCAAATAGAACAAATTTAAAACCAACCTGTTGATCATGTTATTAGTTGCTAAATAAGGGGTTATTGCTTTACCAAGGAACCCAGTTAAGAAAGCAATTATTCTTCCAAAAGCTGCAAAGAGTTCCAGTTTGTCAGCTGGAGTACATTACATTGTTTAGCAGAAAATTATTCCATGGATGGTTCATGGCTCTTTCGTTTTCTTGCTACACAGTAAACTTCTCTCCATGTACCTTAGCATTTTTGTAAGACCAGAATAACAGCATATCTCTCTCTTCTGAGGATTTTTTACATGAAATCCGTTATAAATGCTCACTTCTTTTTTTAATGGAGATGGGATTACTTTACATTTGGTTTGATTCCTTAATCTTCCCATTCTTCATTAGGATACATCTGTCACGGATTTGCATAGTTTAAAATATGTAAGGCACTGTTCAAAGCCTGGACTTTAAATTAATAAAGGTGGACTTTAAATCAGTAAATTGATTCTTGATCTCCAAAGTACAGTTATATGGCCAGCATTTTTAAAAGTATTTTCTGATTTCCACAGGTTAGAATAAACAGCAAAGGATTGGTTTATTCAGTTGCACTTTTGCTAGGATCAGTGGCACTTACTGTAAGTATTAGAGCATCTACAAGTATTTCAATTTGAAAATACTTGTTAGGTATTTACATGTTACAGAAGGATAAAATAGAAATACTTTGCATTGATTTCTTCTAGCAATACCATGAGTGGAAGAGCTACCATCATCCTCAGTGAGGACTGCAATCTAGCATTTGGTGCAAAAGATGTTGGATATGTGTAGGTCCCATGGATTTCAGTGGCAGTGTTGAAATTTTTGAATCCAACAGTACTTCTGTGGTCCTGTGTCCATACCCCCAGCCTGTCTCTAGGCTGAGACAAGACCTGTTGTGCTTCATCACCTTTGCCCTTGTCTCTGGTTTCCAAAACCAGCCAAAATCAAGTGCTGTAGCCTAAACACTTAGTGAAGACTAGTCTGTGAGGACTGAACCCCAGGACATGGAAGAGACATGCTAAATCTGACTCAGTATAAGACACCCCTCTAACACATGACTTGTAAAGGTGAAACAATAATTCTGTTTGAAAAGTCAATTTTGCTGGTACTTAAGGTTTGTTCCTGCTTGACTCCCAGGGAACGCTCTGTAGGAAGAATCAAATCAGGTATAAGGAATCAAAAAGGTATAAAAATATCCACTTACACTAACATCTTTCACTGATTGCCTGTGGAGGCTTTGTAGAGGAGGTGGTTACCACTGGAGATTTCACACTGTTGCATGACTAAGCCTTAAAGCTTCACATCACCTGTGCATGCCTTAAGTGATGGAATGGCCAGGGCTGTTCACTCTGCTGCTAACTTCCTAATCTATCTGATCTATAAGGTGTGAGAACGTGTTCTTTTCATTCCTTATCCCCAGCCTGCCCTACTGCACAGTGCCTGTGAAGCAGCACCGGTGTTCTGTACACATTTGTTATCTGGTGTTGCTGCATGCGTATTGTTAATCAGCGCATTGGGGAAAAGGTGGGAGGATTATGCAGAGGCATTACTGTGCTAGCCCTTCAAGCTTTTCTGAAGAGTCTTTTCTTAGCAGAAGCCAGATCACCTGAGTTTGAGGCATTTTTACAGTCTCATTTTTTATTGCTGAGTACCCTGATTTGCACAGACCCTCCTACAGCAAACTCAGAGGAAAGTTTTGAGCAAACTCAGAGGAATGTTTTGAGCAAAATAAATAATAATTCAGAGGCACTAAACACTGTGGAAAACAGGTGCCCTCATGAGGACTTTGTTGCTTTGCTACCTGTAACTTGTAACCCCTTAGTTCTGGAGCTCAGCAAATAAGCAGGTACAGCACCTCTTTTGAAGCTGTTGAAAGAACGGGCATTAGGTGCTGGTGTACTACTGGGACATACAGGATTTGCAGAGGAACACTTAGTTTAGTTCATTGAATATTTTGTAAAACAGTCGTAGGACAACTGCCACTCAGAGCCAAGTCAACAAGGTATGTTGCCTTCTGAGCTATAAAATATTAAGAATATATTTTTTATTTCCTGTAAGACTTCTAATTCAAAAGACTCTCATTTTTAGCTTATAATGGTTGTTTCCAAAAGTCTCCTTCAGAACTTTATTAACTGACACTCTGTTTGCTTGCAGGTGTTTGGAATCCATGTAAATAAGTGGAAACTTGACAGGAAGTTAGGCATCTACGTATTGCTTCTTTATGCTATTTTCCTGTGTTTATCTATAATGATAGAGTTCAATGTCTTCACCTTTGTCAACTTCCCTATGTGCCGAGAAGAACTTTAAACCACAAGGAGAGACACTGAAATTCTTCTGATGACACATGCTGTAAATGACAGGAGGCATTTCAGATTCTTGCCTTCTTTCCATCAATAATTTGAGTGTCATTCCTGCTTAATCAGCTAACGAGCACTTTTACCTATATGGAAGGAGAGCATACCTTTTTTTTAACATGCTAGCTGAAGGCAACCAAAGCATTTTCCTCATCTTTGGATATTGCTGCTCCATCATAAAGCTACATGGATCTTACACAGAACTCTAAAAGGACCCATTTCTGGGAATTCTGTTGTGGCGTTCTTTCTCCTTCTGCAGACAATCAACCACCACCACGAGGGTTAGCAAGAGGATGGGAGAAAAATCTTTATAGTTCTTTTGGTTTTGACATTTACTTTCCATGGAAGGATAAGAGGCAAGTTCAGAACCTTTCTTGGCTCAGTCAGAATATTTAAACTACAGGACCAGAAAGTCCAAGGCACATATCATGGCATGCACTGTTGAGGATCATTTCCTCCTTCAAGTGCTCTGCTTGTAGAGAAGCTGCACTGACAGTTTTTGATGGCAATGTTGGATATTTATCACTCTGTTCAATGAACAATGTGGCAGAGAAAGAAGAGGAAATGGTTGTATGTTGTATCACTTGTGTTGATGCACACTAGAAGTCAGAGTAACTGCATATTGAAGAAGAGAATTTACATGCAGAAATTCATACTTGAAAAATATGTTTTATTGTTAATGAGGAATGCTGTATACATAGATATAAACTGACATTTGTGGAATATTACACCACAAAAAAAAAAAAACTTTTCATTGGCCGTTGTAAGCCCATTGTGTACATTTAGAAGAAGCTAAAGAAATAAAATATAACTGGGTGCTCAGTAACTATCAGTTATTGTTAACAGCTGGGAGTAGTAGCTGAACATAATCCAGACTTTCTGACAACAAAACCCACCCTGATTATGATTTGGTTTGATTCAGTTTGATTGGTGAGAAGAAGAAACTTATTTCAACAGTCAAGAAGCTGGTGTATTCTTCACCATTTTTTCTTATTCTCAGAAGCTTAATGAAGATGAATGTCTGACACAGAGCAGTGCAGATAAGAGTCACCCTGAAAAAAGCAAGTCTGTCAAGAGAATATGGTCCTTGATTTGATTGCATGCAAATTTTGAAGCATGATGTACTTCTTTTTAACCCTGAGTAGAAGCCAAGTTTTGATATCCTTTCCACCAGCACAAATCTGAAATAAATAATTACTCTGGCTATAATTGACAGAAAGATCCAGCCCAGAGTACTAGAATAGGCGGGTAACATTCCACAATTTAGCACTGATATAATTGTAAATCACTGAAACAGCATATTTTGAATTGCTACTAAACTTTAAAAATATTTTGAAGCTGTATGTGAATGATCACATAAAGTTTCTAAAGAAGCACAGTTACCTTTATACATAGATTTTTAAAATTTTTTAATGTTTATAAACCAAACCAAACCTATCAACTAACAGTTGATGTGTTTTTAAATGTATTAATATTTTCCATTAAGACTAAATATAAAAAATTGTCACTGAGAATATATTATAAAAACTTAGCAAATAAGCACTTACTCAGAAAGTTCCTTCTTTTGACATATATGACAAATAATTATGTTTAGCCAGCTGACATGCAGAATACTGTTTACACCAGGCAATGAGTTTACAACTAAAATGATTTTTAAAATTATTTTAAAATAAATTAAAGAGTGTATGCTGTTGCTGGTATTGTTTTTTTTTTTTTTTTTTTTAAGAATTGTGTCCATTCAATGTAAGTCTAAAGAGAAAAAGAGCAACACATTTGTTATTTGCTTTTCATTTTGTTACAAATGTCAGTATTAGTATCCATTTAGGGTTTCTTACCTTAATTAAATGCTCATGTGATTAAGCTAAGAACTAAAGATTAACACAATGACAGCATTGCTAAAACGCTTTATTAAATAGTCAAGAATGGCAGTAAACACATTTTATCTCAAGTATGCCAATGACCCCTTTTCCAGGCATTCACAACGTTTTTGGTGCAGTATAAAGCTGAGGAGATGAAATTCATGTTCACCTTGGAGTCTTCTGTTGCAGAAAGGCTTTGAAAATGCAGCATACTGCTGCACCACTGTAGGAATATCACTCCCTAGTATTCCTCTCTCCCATGCTGTCTTTCAGGAGGACAGTTTACTGCTGAAAATCTGGTGATGACTTAAATATGGGACTGAAAGGAGCAGAGAGGGAGGCTGAGTAATTGAGTTTTTCCTATATTCTGTTTTTATGGTCTTGGAGAACTCTCTGCAAGCAAATATTTGCTCTCCTATGCACAGTTCAGGCAGCTCAATTGTCTTTACTTAATAGAAGAGTAGTTCCAAAGTCTGGTTTTGAATGCATAGTGATCAACTGAGTTGACAGGAATGAGGGCATCAAAGTTTATAGTGCCAGATCTAGAAAATTGTATTTTACCTTCATATTTCTGAGCCAGGAAACATTAGAAGAGTATGGGCACCATTTTTTTTCCATAGCAGCTGACTTTCTGCCCAAATATACACGAATTTTGTTTGCTAATTCCCTAAATCTTTCACACATCATTTAAAATTACTCTGCCTATCCCCTGCTGAATCTGAATATCACAATCTGAATATCACCTGCTCCAGAAAGCCAGTCTTGTATTTTAGCAGAAAAAGTCTCAGAATCCAGAACAACCCTTACAATATGTGGCTGGTTCATGTCATCTACAGCTCTCCCTGAAACATAAACTCACTTAAGGACAATATGTATTGAATTCTAATGCTACATTTCATGGGGTGTTCTCATCTGCATCTACTGCTATGAGACATGTATCATGCCGTGCTTATCATTATAGATAACATTAGTAGGATTCTCCTTTGACACTACCACATGACCAAGGATGTATTGTTTGCCAAAGAATTATGAGATGCTGTGTCAGGGCTTTGGTGACACATAATCATATGAAGTACTTTTAAGAAGCTCCTAAGTAGTCCTTGTCCATATGCTAAAATAAATAGTTATACACTAAGCCATGGGTAAACTGAATGGTCCAAGAAATATATGATTGACAAATTGTTTGATTGCAGATAAACCCACATCAGAATGTATCAGTAATTCAGGAGGCTATTGCTGAGTAATAGCAGACGAGTGCCTTTCACATGTATTAAAAAAAAAAAAAACAAAACAAAAAACCAACCAAACAAACATGAGCTTGTGTGGTCAGGAAGCTATTAAAATGTTGCCATTTTCTAGTCAAGAAAAGGAATTAATTGTGCTTGGCTCTCCATTGTTATCACAGGTCTATAGTGCAGCTGTTTGGATTGTATCTATAAAATTTTGCAGGTATTTTGTTTCATTAACCATTGCAAAAGTTAGCTGGCTGAGTTTGGAATGTATGTCACAATGTTCTGTAAGTTAATGTTCAGCTCAAGAGTGAAAAGAAAGCTGGTGTATGTGAGAGAGAAAACTGTTAGTGTGATCTGAAATTTGCCAGCATACTAACACTGAAAAGTAACACAACTCAGAAAAAGATATCCCATATCCAGCAAAGCTTAACTTCAATAGCTTTGATTCTGTTTTAAAGCTAAGCATCTATCCAAGTGCCTTGCTGGATTGTGTCCTAAGATGACAGTGGAGCATGGTTTCTGGGTTTCTTATCATAGTCAGTTCTTTCCATGTTCTATTGCTTTTGTAGTCTAAAGATTTTATTTCTTTCTCAAATTAAAAGGTTTGACCAGAATCTGTGGACTTCTACTCTGCTGATACTACTTTAGATTTCCACCCTTGTAAATAAGAGAACTTGTTCCTTGTCTCAGACTTCTCAACTGTTCATCTGCCCTTGTGCATGAGCAGATCAAAACTGAGTTACAGCTGGCCAAGGAGGGCTTTTAGCAGCTCTTTTGAGCTGCAGTTCCCCTGGAGTAGCACAGTCCCACACAGACCAATGAGTGTAATCCTGTCTGCAGCAAGGAACTGGGAATGTTTCCATTATGTTCAGCAGTGTTTGATTCCATTTATTTACCATAATAATTGTACTGCATTATGAGGTATTGCTTGAGTAAAGATTTCAAGCTCAGGATCTGCATGTCTAAATCTAAGAAGCTCCAGGTATGGTTATCCCAATGTCTCTTTGATGGTCTAAGGGCTTCTCTCTGGGCTGAGTCTAGCCTGGAAGAACACCTGAAGTCTTCCCAACAGGTACAGCATAGTCAACCATCTTTCTCCTGGCTCAGTCTTTGGTGTGCCAATTTTATTTTGTTTTTATATGCTTGCTGCAGCTGTAACAAACAAAGATAGCTCCTGGTTTTAGATTATATTTGTAAACTTTCTGTCAACATGTAAACAAATGGCAAAGGTCTTTACTAATCTAATACTTAGCAATTATAGAGAAGATTCTATTTTGTCTTTGATTTCCCTTGTGACTCTGCTTTAATTACGCTTGTTCCTATTATATGTTTGCTCTAGGTGTACAAATGCCTCATGAATTTCATTGTCTTCCTTTCTTGGATTTCTTGCAATTTTAATGCCACTTACTTGTGACCCACTGTTAGTTGGTTTTGGTAAAGTTGTTTAAGCTGTAGAACTACTGTCTGGTTATTCATGCCAAGGAAAAATCAGATGTTATGTAATATGAAACAGACACTAAAATAACTCTTGATAGCCAGGTGAAACCAAAGAATCTTCCGAATTGAAGTACATCACCTTGGAGCATAATGTTCTGTCATTGCAAGCATCAGATCTCTCTGTTATTTGTGTTTAAACATTCAAAAGAAAATATCTGCAGCTGGTGCATTTGCTGCACAATTTTCTTTCTAGTTCCATGAGTCTGAATGCCACATTTTTCATTTTGCTAGATGGTGGGATTTATGTGATGATTACAGAGGTAAATGACAGTATTTAGTTCCAGAAATTCTGTACCAAACTTGTTGTTATTCCATTGAACCATTTGGAAAAGTCTGTATGCAAGTGATCAATGTCCTGCTGAAGAAGGGAATGTCATTCAACTGATGTGTGCATTCCACTTTCTGACCTACCATGTACATATTTAAAAGCCTCCTTTTGAAGAACTTGAGCACTTTTCTCACATTTTCCCACATGTGAGGTCCTGATGGTTTATCCCCAGAGAAGTCTGTGAAGTCCTGTACGTGCCTCTCCTGACACGTGAGATGTGTGTGGCTGCTTCTCCACAGGCCAGGATGTGTAGTGATTGTGGCAATTTGTTCATCACATGGTTCTGCTTGCTCCCATACTGTGCACTGTCTGAAAGAAATGAATAATTATGGGAAATTAATGCCATTTGGATATTTTTGTAGAAGAATTGCCAGTTGGAATTTAATTCTGTTTTTCTTTTTTCACTTGCACAAAGAATGTAGGCAATCGTTGCTGTTCTATCACTGAGATGGTCTTGATAAACTTGAACGACAAATAAAAAGATTGGATTGTAGCACTAGGCATGGTAACAAATTCTAAAGGTATCAGAACATGAGAAAACCAGACAAATATAATCTCTAGAAAGATTATGAACAACTGAGATGATTCCTTTCAGAGGTTTTTTGAAGAAAGATTATGGCCTTTATTCATATACCAGTTATGTATGCAAAGAAAACTTATAAATCTGCTTCCCCAGCAACACCTGTGTTTCAAATGGCTGTTACTGCAGCAAAGTTATGACCAAATTCTTGCCTTCATGTTCTTGGGAGTGGTGCCAGTGTTCCTTAGTGTCCTGGTAGTTGGCACAAATTAGTATCGGTGGAACTGAGCATAGAATTTGGCTCACGGTATCTCTTCCATTGCAAGAAATTCTTTGAAATAATCTATGGTCACTAGAATAACTTCTGAATCTTTTAAAAACCTGTGTTTCATACTTGCAGGCATTTGCAGTGCACCCTTAAGAGGTGCAATACCTCTTTAAATATTATGAAAATAATACTTTCTAGAACTGCTTACTTTGAAAACAGAAAGGGATGGGTTTGTAAACTGTAAATAACAGAAATCTCTCATGTTACTTATTTTTTCAATGACTGTGACCTTATGCACTGTGAATGCTCTGTGATATGGGGTCCATTGTACAGATAAACATGTCATGAAATCCAAATGGATTTAATGTGATAATTTGTTACAAAATGTTGGCATGATATTTGATTATTTTTGTTGTGAGAATTTTAAAAAATAGTTAACTCAGCATTTATAAAGATTATAACAGTCAGTATTATAATGCACTATATAAAAATATGTACACTATCAATAAATTATATAAACAAGAGTGCTTGCTGGTTTTTTTCTCAGATGATTAGTAGATGTGAAACATTCTCATATATATTGTTGAAAATCTAAAATTTCAGGACCCAAATAGGACGTGTGCCTGCACATGTTAGCTTTTTGGTGAAATCTGGACCCTGGTGAACTGAGTGACAGAAGGCCCCACATTCTGTGTGTTCTAGGGAGTATTGCCTGGATCAAGCCATTATTTGGAATGAGTTAAGTGTATCAGTTTGATTTGCAGCAGTTCTGAAACACACAGTTTGCTCTTTTGGGACTAGAAAACTGAGAACTCAGTTTGGTGAGAGCACAGTTTGCTGTACTGAGGCACTGATCCAGAAGCAATTCTTGCAACCTCAGAAAAAAAACCCTGATTATGAGCATTTTGGCTGCCTCATCCAGTGATATATTGGTGTCCAGCACGTTCACACTGAGTACTGCATGCTGATGAGAGGCTGGAAATAAGGTCCAAAGGCCACACAGTGCTATTTTCCTTTCCCAGTTCCTCAGGCTCTCAAAATACTCCTTCTTACCCTTGATTTCCCATTTCCAGCATGCCTGTAGTCCATGTCAATGTGTGCGGAGACTCCCAAGATACTGTGTATAGCCTGTGGTGCAATCTGTGCTGGACTTAAGAAAAACTTTAAATGCAGTTCTTGGAAAAAGAGGAGCTAAGAGTTTACCTCATTTCATGGCATAGTGTGTTAACAGTTTCATTAGATAAGTCTTCTCATGAATACTCCTAGCCAGTTTACTACCAGGAGATGCAAGTTAAAACAAAGCTTGATCTTCTTTTTCTTAAGCACTGTGCATGAGACTGAAATCCCTACTCCTGTATAAACCTGGCATTAGCCACTGTGGGCTTTTTGTGCATCTACAGAAATGTCTTATGGGAGTGGAGAAAAAAGATATTCTGCATTGTCTGAATTTTGAAAAAGATTTCATTCTTTAGTGTATGCTAGGCTAAATTTTTCTAAGCAGGGGACAGAAAAAGATTCCTTCTTTTACACAGAATTAACTTTTAAACATCAGAATCTGAATGTGAAAAGTGCCTCTTCATTTAATCCTTCCACCCTTGACACTGTGACCCATCGTGATCTGTTATGTAATAGGCTCTATAAAAGGCACGTAATCTAAGGATTAGTGACACAACAGGCACAGCAGTTCCTCAGGGCTCCTGTCACAGGCCATGGTATTGATGCAGCCTCTCCCTCCTGCATGGAAAGCAGAACTGTGCTGTAATCTGGGCATATTCTGAAAGCCTTTTACTCTAGCTCAAGTGCTCATTGTACTTAATGGCTTCCCCCATAAGCCATTTTTAAACCTTTCCAACCCAGCTGCATGAAACTACAAAAAAAGGGCTGCAGGATGCTGTGGCTTAAGATGGAAAGAGTGAATCAGTCCTAGAAGAGAAATGAATTCCTCCCATTTGGCTTGGCTTTATAACAGAGGAATGTAAATTTGAAGTAACTGGATATTATTTTGTCATTTAGCTTTTTTGTAATTGTTTCTTTCCAAAGCCTGATTCTAGAACACATTGTCAATACTAACCCTGTCAAATCTCTGGCTCAAAACCACACCTAGTAAAGCTTGAATAAAATGTGTCTTCTTTATAATATTTTAAATATTTTACAGAAATACTGAGTGTTTTGCAGTTAATATGGGACTTTTAAGATTTAATTTGGTCAATATCTTTAACAAAACAAATTTCAAAACTTCAAATTTCTGAAACTGCATTTTTTACATTAGAAATAGCATGAAAGATTTCACTCAAATCACATTAAACTGAGATAGCACAAAAATACTGGAATTTTGTATTTGGCAATTTTTGCCATTTTTTCCTGGACCTTTTTAGTTGTTCTAGTAATATTTTTTCTTCTTCCCTAAAAATATGATTGGAATTTTCTAACTGTTGTGTTCTGCATTTGTAAAATCTTAAGTCTTTTCCAAGGATGGCTGCCTATTTGTGTGAACAGTTTTTGTGTGAGCAGGTCCATGCAGACAGCACAACTTTGCATTTTTTTGTCTCAGAAAACCTTTTTTTTCCAGCAGAGCAAGGGCAAATGCTGAGTGGGCTTGGTCCCTGCTAAATTGTGAGGAATGGGAGTGGAAACTGGGGTAGAGTTGAACTTGTGTGATGCATGTAGGAGATTGTTCTCATGCCAATACCTGATGTGCATTTCAAAGGTGTCCAGCTGGTGAATAAATCAAGAAGATTTTTTTTTTTTCTTAGACCTCTGAGCCCAGAATCCACAGAACGATTCAGAGTTGAGATCTGACAAGTCTGGAGTAAGGGATGAGTGAATCTCAGCCAACCAGTTTGTCTAAGAGGACTAAATTTTAATGAATGAGTTTGTTGTTGCCTGAAAATTACTCCAGGAGTTGGGGCAAGGAGATTCTTAATACAGTAGAAAAGAGCATTAGAAGATACAGTAATTGAAAATTAGATAAGGCAAAAAAATCAGGTATTAATTTAAATAATGTCAGCAATTAAGCACTAACATGCCTTACTTAGAATGGTGGTGAATTTTCCATCATGCAATCTTTCAGGAAGGCTCTTTCTAAGATAATAGAGTTTCTAAGATAAATCCTTATAAAAGCTAGAAGATAAATTTCCTAATGTGAACTGAAGTTACAGTATTTATTAAAAAAAAAAGTGGGAAAATTTTGTCTTATGTTACATCGAAGGTGTGACTTGGTGATGGTGGAAGTCTCTCTGACTCTCTAGCTCAGTGCCAGCAGAACCGGCTCTGTGTTCTACACTGAGGTCTAGTTTCCCTCTTGCCAATACACTGCAGCTCCCAGGCATTTGCATTTCTTCTGTGAACTGTATGGCACTGTCTATTTTCAGAAGGCTGAGAAATTCCTTCTAAAGATAAAGGGGGCAAAAAATTACTTTTCGTCTACCATGCATTCCATGCAACTGCTTTTCTCCACCTCTCCTTTCTACTTTTGCCTTATTTTTTCCATTATGTATTCTCCTAACATCAAGTGTTTCTGGAGCCACGGGGCTGCCAAACAGGAGTGCCACCAGCCCTGCCTGCCAGCACATCTGGCAGCCCCCAGCCTCCACAGCTGGAGCGTGTTGGGTCGTGTTTCCCGCACGGCGAACCCTCGATGGCTCCAGTCAGGGCAGGTCAAACGTGCGCCGAGCCCGGCGGGAGCTTCCCGGCGTGCAGAGCTGCTCATCTGCCAGCAGCCACACAGCCTTATCCTTAGATTTTGCTTTAACTGGGAATGCTTTGGAGAAGCTGTCCTCTGCCAGCGTTAGACATTTCGTTTTCTCAGGTCCTGTGTAAATATAAAGGTTTCCAAGCTCCATCTGGTTCCAGTTACTCAAGCAGTAGAAATACACATGCTTCAGGAATTTGCAGACGGAGACTTACTGCTTTGCTGCCTTACAAAATCCTTTACAAAGTTCACTGTGCTCTGTTGCCTCCTGATATACCTGTAGTCTGTAAAATTATTTCCCCTGAAACTTACTTAGGTTAGAGAAACAAATTAGTTGAAAGTCTCAAGCCCTTCTTTCTAATAAGGTTAACCTGCCTGCACTACTAAATATGGCTTTATAACACACACACTCTCACACACACTCACACCCTTGACCACCGAAGACTGCCTCTTCCTGAAATCCCCCGTTCATATAAATACAGGAAGTAGAAATAAGAGAGGCTAAAATCGGATCTTCTTGGTAGTTTGCTTTCATTTCAGTGCTTGTTTAGTCCTCTGCCCTCCGACACTACTGAGCCCGAAGCTGGTTTTAAACATCTTCCCCCTCATGCCCTTGAAATACCATCTTCACTGCGAAACCTGAGGATGTGGAAGTTCTGCTCAGCGATGGGAAGGAATTGCTTTTCTGACCGAGGAACTCTCAAGCCACTGTGATACAGAAAGTGACCTAAAGTTTGCTGTAATGATGAAAACATCAGCAGGAGAGAGGGGAGCCAGGGATGACTCAGGGTAAGTCCTGAATCTTTAGTGACTGTTCATTTTTAATAACTGTTGCTTTCCTTTTCCTACTTAACAAAGAGTTCTCGGCTGCATTTGTGAGCTGACTGCTGAGTTACACAGTCACAATGGTGTGGCATGACTGTTGTAATTTACAGTATTTCCTTTAACTGACATGTTCAGCTAAAAGCAAACTGCAACAGCTTTATTTAGCTTGAGCCTCAGCTATTTAAGCAAGAAGGATGAATCCAAATCTACAGTTTGGAGCAAAGGACAGAAAAAGGGACTTTTTTGATTTTGGAAATGTGACAAAGGTGTACTGGGAGGCTTGCTTTGTTTCTGCTCAAATGCAGAAGTGGATAAGGGCTCATCCTTATGAGCTGATGGTCACTGCAGCGCCTGCACACTGGGGTGTACACAAACCCTGTCCCCATGCTCCCAGGAGACTTCAGGTGTACTTTTTGTCAGGAAAAGACTACAGGCTTCCCTTGCTTCTGGCTGAAACACTGCACCCTGCAGGACCAAATCCCAGGAAAACAGTGGGAGAGAAAATGGGGTTTTGACACAAAGGACAGTCACCAAGCTACTGGGATTCCAGGATAAGGCTGGAATCCTCCCAAGGCTTGGTTGTATCACAAAGCCCATGCTGAAGCTGGGCATTTCTGTTTCCTGTTTTAAACAAGCAAGGGAAAATTACATAGCTTCTGAAACTGTCAGTCACACACTCCCCCCTTCCCGCTTGGAAAACCATAATAATACCAGATACTGAGACTTTTCCTTATCTGTCTAACACAGACTATTTTTTGTGAATAAAGGTTTCAGATATTTCTGTGATGCATTCAGTAGAAGCAGCTCTGTGGATGGGTGGATAGATATGGGATAGTTGCACTTCCAGTTGCTGAGGGTGCTGCCCTACTTGGGGTAAAATTTTCCCCTACAAACAGTGGAAAATTGCTGCTGAGAGGCTACTGTGTGATGGTTTTACTGTAGCACTGTTCCCAAATAACACACATGGAGTGAGGGGATGGAGGCAGAACCCTGCATTGCAGTTGTCAC